CCAATATGGAATGGGCTACCCCCCCCCCCCCTTATGCCTCCCCTTCTTTCCAGGCCCAAAGGTTTGAAGTGCGCTGTGCAGTAGTCATATTACCTACCTCGACAAGCTTCTCATTTACAAACAAATAGTTTCTTGGCCAGCGTTATTAGCAGTCAGAACTGCGAATAGCCAACCGCAGCGCCGTCGGCTGCTTGGCGTCCAGCGAGTGATGAGAAAGAAACTATTTGTTTGTAAATTAATGTGAAGCTTGTCGAGGTAAGTAATATGACAGGCAGACATCAAGTTCAAATTAGAAGCTTTGCTAAGTATTCAAGTTTTTTAAAACTCACCGCACTGGAAATCTTGTCGGGTGGGTGTGCCCTCGGCGCGAGTCCTCGAGGCCCCCGCCGGCCCTCGCTGCTCGGGCTGCGAATCCGCCGGCCCAGCCTAGTGGCCCTAGCCGCTAGCCCAGCCCCAGCAGCCCGCCGTCCCTGCTGCCCCCCTCCCCGCGCGCCCCCGCACCGCAGCCCCGGGGTGCGTCCCTTTTCAGCTAACTTCCATCACGTCCATCACGTCGATCGCGTCGATCGACGTGATGGAAGTCGGTTGAAATTCACGTTGTTTCGCGGTGCAAATGCATTTAAAACACTCTAACGTTACTATGAATAGTTTTTAGTCTAACACTCCCGTATTCTGCCACTTTCAATCGTAAAATGGCTTAAAAGAAGATATAGTCTTCGTTCCCATTTGAATCGCTGCTGCCTCGCGCCGTTTGCGCTGTGCAGATGAAAGCTTAGTCTCTGTCCTGGAACTCGTTCAAAAACAGTTTTCGGGCAAAATGTATTATCATGTTTGAACGCACATCACTTGCCGATCAACATTATCTGTTTTTACTGCATTTTCAACGAAAAACAACGTGAATTTCAACCGACTTCTATCACTTCGATCGACACGACCGACGCGATCAACGTGATGGACGTGATGGAAGTTAGCTGAAAAGGACGCACCCCCGAGCACAGGGGCAACGGGGCAGCCCTGGCCAGCCTGCGTCCGCCTGTCTGCCGCGCCCGGAGCGCGGGGTAGCGACTCGGGCGGGTCGGATTCTTTTGCAACACATAAGGTGCCCCCACAATGACCGGGGGCCGTGAGCCATGAGCCATGGGCCATACCAACGGCTCTCCCTTGCGGTACCTAGGGCCTTTCTCTTTTGGCCTTACACATTCGGACTTAGTTGGCTAATTTACTTTTGATATTCGCGTAAAAAACTTCGTGAATTTGAGCGTTTTTAGGAGGAAAGATGGTCTGAGGCTTATGGCTCGTGGCCCATGGCTCCTGTTCATTGTGGGGGCACCTATAGTACATTGATTCAATGTGATCGTGAACTGAGCTGGTCCTGAAATTTATACTAACTGAACAGCAGCCGGTTCCGATCAGTTTAAGTCAGCTGAGCAAGTCTCGTAGTCTCGTAGCTTCTAATAACTTCTCATTCTGTGCCGTGTGTCTATGTTTACCTAATATTGTTTATTACTTTATTTTCAGGTCCGGCTGCACTGTCCCAAATGTGCTGGTCGCTTCTCTTTCCCAAGACCGAAGTGGGGTGGGGGTGGGGGGTAATTATTATGTCTAAAGAAACGGATGAGGTCTTGCTGCAACAACCCCGTACTAGCAACTAGCTAGTTAATTAGTCAAAACAGCATTCTTTGATTGGCTATCCGAAAATATTAACTTGCTGTTACAATCCTGAGATGTGCACATTGCGGTGTCGGATGCCTTAGATTGTTTCAGGGTGTTAATCTGATACTGATAACAAGGGAAACTGACAAATATGTCACGGTTTTCGAGTACGACATGACCAACGGGTGCTGTGAGCAAAGATGCACCGTGTCTGGTCCCATAAATTGAGGCTCTATCATCCTAAGAATCTTAACATCTTAACATATCAACACATGCAGTTTTCGTTGTATTTGGAACTATGGCCCTGGTTCAATAAAACCATAAACCACGACGCTGTCGGACGTTTTAGCGATGCCGGATAATTTTGTCGGCATTAGAGAACAAAACGACATTAAAATGTAAAACCATAATCACACTATCAAATATAATGCAAAATTTGATGTCAACATGTTGAGATGTTAAAATCCTTAAGCTGATGGAGCCTGATTTGGTTGGAACGGGAATGATTGTTGATACGCTTTCGAATACCGCAGAGCGTGACAAGCAATTGATTTAATCGCAAACTATGATTATATCTTTCTAATTTATTATTAATGATACCAGAAATCAAATCATATTTAGAACAGAACCATACAATATTTTTGTCATTTAAGATTATACTTTCAAATATGATCATATTATGATTTTCTAATACTTGCATTATCACTTTTTTTACTTTTTCTAAAAACTCTGAAAGTGGTAAATTCGTACCATCAAACATATTTATGGATCTTAAATGTGAAAAATGAAATAGATTTAATGTTAATTGGGATGATGCCACGTTCATATGTATAACACCGTCTGTATACATCTCCTGAGGACAGAAAACAGAAACACATAACTATACCCTTTTCTTACATTCACAATCT